ACACGCGAATGGCTGAAAGTGTGTTACGAGAGCTGCTTTATGAATGGCTGATCTCATAAAGATACAGAATCGACCTTGGGCACACCAACATATTCACGTCGAACTTCCGGTGTGTACACATAGACTTTCACTGTTGGATTAGTATTTAAACGTGGACAATAGGGTCTTGCAGTTCCAATTGTGAAAACCACCCAGATACAAGATCCCGATGTTGTCATCGCATTCAAGAACCTCAAGGATAGAGTGCAAAGTGGCATTCAGAAGTACAGGGGGAGATCTAGGCACTCAAGACCGCAACCACATCCCATGATCAATGATTTCTCTCGTCTGGCCAGGAGACTCTGCGCAAAATCTGTCGGAGTTGTCCTCGGTGGTGGTGGGGCTCGTGGCATCTCGCATCTTGTCAGTGGTATCTCCGTGCAGTTGTCATCACTTGCTGATAAGATAACAGGGTGTCTTACGTGCGCTCGAGGAGCGTGGTATTCCTATCGATTACATCGCAGGCACTAGTATCGGTGCACTTATAGGTGGTCTTTACGCACGCGAATGCGACATTATAATGAGCACTAGTCGTGCTAAGCAGTTCAGCGGAAGAATGGGAAATATTTGGAGGATACTTTCAGATGTTACATACCCCCTTGTTGCTTATACCACAGTAAGTCATCTGGTCACACTTCGTATCGCCCCACATTCACGTTTCGCCTTAGGGACATGAGTTTAACAGAACTATATACAAAGTAAGTTTTCGGGAAGTTAGTCTGGACCTATAATTAACACATTTGTCAGGCTTTCTACGATCTTCACATAGAAGACATGTGGTTACCGTACTTCTGTAATACTACGAACATCAACACATCCCGCATGGAGATCCATGAAAGTGGTTATGCCTGGAGGTTCATCCGTGAGGTAGTCGAACTGATTCCGTTGATACGAACTCACGAGTGTCATTGATACAGGTGCTTCCATGACTCTGGTTGGACTACTGCCTCCATTATGTGATAACGGCAGCATGCTTGTTGACGGTGGATATAGTGCGCTCCTTCGTTCAATTTTGTATTCCATTGCTTATGAGATCACATTCCGCAGTTGATAACCTACCCGTGAGTAGTTGATCACTACTGATTCTGGATGGCCCCTAAATATAGCATTAGGTGTCGACAATGTTCTCGATGGGCGCTAGTATTGTGCTTGCTGCGGATGTTGGTTCTGTAGGTTTTTATTGAAAATCGTCACCTACTTCCATGTCTTACACTCCATTACCAAGGTTGATGACAATTCCCCTCGAAACTTTGGTGACTCTGTTTCTGGGTGGTGGCTCATGTTCAACCGATGGAACCCCTTCTCGAGCGCTCGAACTGTGCCTGCGATTACCGAGATCCAAAGTCGACTGGCCTAGTGAGTTCCCACACCGTACGATCAGTTTGTGTTGTTCTTACGTATCCGAAGTGTATCGAGCGTGCACACTCTAGAGGCAGCCAAAGTCACACGGAACTGCCTGTATATGCAGATGCCGGTTCAGGAGGTACGGATATTCTCATATCTTGACTGTCTCCATGTATGAAACTCACACGCGTCCAGTATGGCACACTCCAATTTAGCAAGTTCGATGAGATCCAGAAGAAGGGGTATCTCGCTGCGGTCGAGATCCTTGACAAGTGGGAAGAGGAGGGAAAGCTACCCGTTCAATACCTCGATGGTTACGGCGCAAATAACAACAAGGGTAAGAAAGGAAGAAGCGCAAGACGCAATTCAGTGTAAATCAATCAGTCCCTCATCTTCGCTGTAGCTCTACATACAGTTGTCATTGTAACACGGAATAATTATCTACGACAAACAAACATACAAATACTGACTAGATAGTTATATGCACCGCAACACATTTGTTTAAATACCAGGAAAGCATACAAATCGTGCCAGTACAGAGAGATAAGATCGAGATCATGTATTGTACGAGGGGTGGGATGCACTTTGGAAATGATGGCAAGAAACAAAAAGAAAATATAGGCAATTAAGCAACAATAATGAATATGGACGCATCCATGCGGTATGCAATATCGTGGGATGATGATGGGGAGCGAAGATCACAAAAACAGGCAAATGGGTTATGATAGTCGATACACTTGGTGGGCAGGCTTTGAAACACATCATGTTGCTGATATAAATAGCTCTGAACAATGATCAGTTATCTACATGAAACAACACGTGAGAACCTGCTCCTGGGATACCAGATATACCACATACCCTAATGCACAATATGTTGATGAAAGCTCAATAATAGCAACGCATCCTCGATCTTCACACCAGAGAATGTTGTACTGTGCATTCCCGTGTCTGCGCTAACATACTCGCTAGGTCCTGCAGACATTCCCACGGCCATCTCAAGCTCTTGAAAGGCAGTGGGTTCAATGAGTCCCACGCCCATGCTTTCGACACCGATGTTGCCCACACCACGAGGCATCGGAAGTGGGACATGTGCCCGAATGCGTTTTTGCGGAGGAGGAGAAGGCGACATGCCAGGGGTCACTGCCTCCTGGAAGTCCTCTTCGCTGCGTTCGTCGACATCAAATTCCATGGTGTCGTCATCCAGATCCATTGCATCATCTTCGTCTTCCTCTTGGGAAGACGAGCCTGATGAAGTTTCGCGGGAAAAATTATACTGATATCCACGGCCCCTGGGGGCGCGAGGAAGAGGAACACCAGCACGCTTAGCCCGCTTACGGGCTGTTTGGCGAATGTTACGGAACCAATTTGTGACTTTGCCAATGTCCCTGGCGGGGAGGTGAGTAAAGGATATGCCAAGATGGAGTTGACATACATTCCCACTTCCAGCGCAAGGGCGTTCCTTTGCTCGATACTTGGCGTCGATGTGCGATGCAACAGCTTTTTGAGCGCTTCCAGCTGGTATGGCTCAGGGCGAGAGCGGCGAGGACGAGATTGTGCGTCCTCTCCTTTGATGCCCTCATTAGTCCGAGGCATCTCTTCGCGGTCCCTTGAATATGGTGTGACGCTTCTTCGCATGCGGGGTGAGGTAAGACGAGGGTTCGAAGATGGAGGCAAAGACATTCGGCTGCGCGGTACCTTCACATCATCAAGTTCAGGTGGAGACAACTTGAGGAAGGGAGGGGGAATAGGCAGGTGACGGTCAAGGGATGGATGAGATGCTCTTGGAGGGAGGTTCAGATGGGTCAATAAAGACCCATGATCATCATCGTTGACAGAAGGTGGGTGAGATGAACCATCTGCAGTTGCAGGTGACGAGGATGTAAGGGGATGATGGTCTTCCTTATGCTTCCTAGCCTGGGTGCGCTGGTTCTGAAACCAATTTGTCACGCTTTGGAGGCGCCTGTCAATGCAAGATCAGTAGGATGATACGATTATCTTGATAATACATTACTGACATGCCAATTCGCTCCGCGAGTTCTTCTCTGTCATCCTTGGATGGATGTGCATTCATCGCATAAGCGCGACGAAGCTCCTCGGTTTGCTCAGGGGTTGTTCTATTGCGAGTGGGCTCGCCTCTGCCCTTTCGAGACGTAACGCCATCACTGGCGCCGTCATTCTCGGAGACAAAACGGCTATCCGCGTCGGGCACAAAGTGGCCCCTCTCGGCATAGACGGCATGGTGCCGATCGCTATCGACAGTTTGGTTCTCAGGCACAAACCGATCTTGTGGCAAGAACTCGGGGGCGAAAGACTTGTCATGATTGTAATTGGCTTCATGGTCATGAAGTTGCAGAATATCCTTCTGTTTCTTGCGTGATGATGAAGGATTGGAGCGGGATGAAATATTACGTGAGGAAGCACTGGGTGGAGGTGATGAGGAGTTTAAAAGGTTTGCTATTGATGGAAGCGTAGATGATGGACTTTTTTGGGGCGGTGCGTCAGTGGAAGCGGAGGCTGCTGGTTTATTGCGCTTCTTGGTCGAAGCTCTCTTGTTTTGAAACCACGCATTAACAGTCTTCGTTTCCCTGAAAGTAAGTAAACGCATGAGATATAGGTTGTTGAATGCGCATAAATACAAAAGACGCCCGTCGACCAAATCAATAAAATTATGAGGGGTACCCAAAAGGGGAACTTACATTCCAAGCTTCTCAGCTAGGTCTGTTCTGTCGTCTAGGCTGGGATGCTCATTTTTCTCATAGAGCTCGTTGAGTGCTGCGAGCTGGTTTGGACTGTGACGATGACGAGGCTTCTTTCCAGAGATGCCCTTATCAATTATTTCAGGATCGTGAGCCTTTTTGTGAGGCTTTTCATCGTCCTGAATAGCTATAGGTGTTGAAACTGTACTCTGGTCGTCGGCGTCGACGTCGCCAAGTACAGATGAAGAAGCAGATATGCTATGATTATTGGTTTGTGAACGATGAGCAGGGAAGTGAGCGTTGTCCATGGCGGCTGATGGGGGACAGCTTTCAAGGGAGAGACATGACAAAGGCTTGTATATGGACTGCTGATATTCCATATCCGCAACCTTTTTTTACTCTGCTATAATGATCAATATTCCCACGGGTGCTACTTGTCGTCACCGAGGGGGTAATACAAGAAAGCAACATAATTATGAATCATTCCTTCTTGTTACTACTGAATCATTTAAATATTCACCCTAGTAGGGTGCTGCGGAGCTCGTGGCGAGGGGATTAGATTCACAGCTGAAATCCGGTTAAAGGAGAAGGTCGGATGCGATTCACAGGGTATCCACGTGGCTATCCCCGCTCGCACTGTCAAATAACAACTAGTGCTCACTTCCCTGACAGAAACTCAGGCTTGACGTTACACTTCCTTGATGTTTACTGCTGTGCAGTCACAGTCATTGATCTTAAATGGAACTAGTCTAGGCAATGCCTAGCCAGCTAGCTAAGCGCCAAGTTTATTAATCAACCCCACTAGTGAATCGGAATTGGATAGGCGCAGCTCACATTCTAAACACTGCCTCATGCACTTATAGACCAATTTGTAGTGTAGTGCAGCGCATTGTTTGAACTATAAAACACCGTAATTCCATACTAGAATCGTGGTTTCCATTCGGGCCGCCCGGTACGTCCACCTAGCCTGGGCCTGTGCGCCACTATAGTGCCATGTCCATAAGCACGTTCTCATACATTGCAAATTGATTAGATTCGCTCTATCCTTCCGTCGTACAAGGACATAAGGTAAGCCTATCTGAAGGCGCATAAACAATGTATATGCAAAGCTCGAATAAGTAACGAAAACTTTGGGAATGAGCGGTATAAATAGTGCGGATGAGAACAGACCAGGCGTCCAATTCAGGAATACAGTGACAGCAGCTATGACGAAAGTTCTGATGTTGGCGTCTCTTCCACGTCGATATTCTTAATCCATGCTCCGATTGATCCCCTACGAGGAAACTTTCATTTGGGACTGCTCAATGTAAATGCGATGCGATAGATCAACTCACAAGAATCCCTCATGCCGGAAAAATAACGCTCGCTTCGTTCCCTTGCTCCAGAACCGTATAGCATATGACAATGTAGCTACCGTCGCTGCATGTCCTGAAACGTAAACATCGCATCAACATTACATTATCAAAGATATAAGGAATTCGACGCACCACGTATGAAGAAGCCACCAAAGTAGATCCTGTCTAGACCATACTTTTCTGCATTCATGTACCTGAACGTGCTGTCAGCCCATGCCCAAGGAAGCACATTCCAGTGCTATCTATATCTGGCAACTCACGCAATCTGTCCGATGTTGTTCGATACAGCGTAGAGCAAGCTTCGACTAATGTCCTCTGCTCGGAACGTCCCGCGTTCGCCTTCTTCCTTCGCCTCGCCTCTGCTCCTGAAAACCTTGCCAAAGGAACTTGCTATCATGGTGGATTTGAGTCCAAGCTTGCTGTAGTCCGAACCATAGATATCACCAACGAGCATATCCACACTAGCATTATCGCCCTTTTCGGATAGTGCAAGCATTTCTGCGCCAAAAATAAGACACTGATCAAGCCCTCAAGTCTTCGACTTACCATCAAATGTCCGAGCGGGCGTCAACAAGCTGAGAAGTCCCCATAACGTTCCCCCACCAAGGCTTGTTCCGCTGACACGTTCAAACGACCCATCAGCATCCACCTTTATGATAGACACACCAGATCCGATGTTGACAAGCAAACAAGGAAGATGCGCAGAAGGTTCACTGGTTTCGAATGTCACGGCATACCGCGGCGGGTCTGGCGATGGCCGCTCCAGAACAGGCTCTGCACTCGTGCTGGGCGCAGGACCATCCGATACGATCTCGTTCTGTACGTCCTTTGATATGTGATGGGTCACTTCCTGGATGAGTTCATCCGAGAAGTAATACACCTCCTCTGGGATCGTTACCATAAATTTCATGCCCTCGATCAGACACTCCATCTCGTCCTCTCTCTGCACGTCCACCACGAGTTCACCCTCGAACAGCTTGCCAAACCTGTGTGCGCCGCCGCCAGTGGCTGATATCTTAACGCCGCGGCGCATCTCCTCGATAGAGACGCCATTCGCGGCAGCAGAACGAGTTATGAGCTCCGATATGAAGGCGATAAGCGCGGAAATATTAGATGTTTCGAACCGCTCGAAATTAATAGAGCCGCCAGGGATGTGTCGGACTTCGGTTGTGCGTTTCAGGATGCTAGAGTGCAAAAGGTCTGTGTCGAGGGAATCTAGGGTGTCGGGGGGATAGTGGTCATTGCTGTGTCCATTTCCGTTATAATGGTATTCGAGGATACGGGGTGTGAGGGTGCCGTTCCGGGTTTGCGAGGAGCTGCTGGGGATAGGGCAAGTAACGTTTGGTGGGGACGTGGATGGGGAGCCAGCACTGGACGTCGAGAAGCTGTTAGCGCTGGAACCACCCTGCGTAGCTATCACAGATGGGGATGAAGAGGACTGCGGAGAGCGAGTAAAGTAAACGACCTTCGCCAGTGATCCACCGATCTGCGATAGCCCTGATGTCAGTAACCAGGATGATAGATTGACTAGCACTCACATCTATTGCGATATGTGAAACTGGCTCGATATAGTTTGGAAGGTATATTCCTCGACTGTCTCGGGTCTATGATATAAGGAGTCAAGGTGATGCATAGCTTCAACAGGTGACAATGCATACCTCGGGTGACTCCTCGGCGAGTATCACTGCTCCTCTAGTATTAACACGGATAGCCTTGGGCGTGGGCAGCGACGGCGGTGGGAGGGGGGCATACATCGCGAGTCTGGATGACAATTTGTTGCGGTCAGATCAGAGTTAGTGAACTCGAATGAGCTCAAGCACTATATCACAGAAATTATGTGTGACTTAAAAGCACTGGAAAGTGGTACGATAGCCGTGAAATCGTACGAACACTCCCTGAGCAATTTGAATCATGTAAATCTTCAAAACTCATGCCATCCGTTGTCTTGAGACTTCCGATATTTAGAACGATTCGGGGACCGCCTTTACCGGAATATGGAACTACTCCTTATGGTCATTCCAACAATGTCTAATCTCCCAGCCGACGTGTGAACATAGCAGAGTCTTGTATGCATTACTAATAATTGTCTGACCAGTGGGACACCATGTGATACAAGCGCATCTAGCTCTAACCTCCGACGACAGATACAACCAGGGCACATGCATTCTCCTGCTCTGCACGCACCCCAAGTTCAAGCGTAACACCCTGACCTCGCGAGAAAGTCATTCTGCACCTGACAAGCACCTTGCCTCCTCCTCCAGTTACCAGACCAGAAAGTTGAAGCGTGTGTACAGATGGCGAACTGGGCGTCTCCGTGCCACCCAAAGGCTCCATATTGAGCAGCTCAATGATAGAGTCGCAGGCAGCTGTAAATGTGGATGAGATGTGAGTTGCATCAGCCGTGGAAAAATTGCGGACGAGTACAGAAAGAGTGAAACGGACCTTTGATACTTTCCATGGCACCAAGTGAAAATGTTTCTGTAGCAGTCGCACCAGACCGTAAACGATCCCACTCGGAGGAAAAAGACGCGTAACTGGGAATGATATAGTCCCCACCGGCTGAAAGTTCAACCTCCTCCAGTTGGTATTCATCCTCGTAACCCTCTTCTTCCGGCCGACCCGTCGACGGATCCAGTTCTTTGGAAATGAACTTCAGGATACATTGGAAGGAGGTGGTGGTATACTCCCGGGGGTTGTCCCGCTTGAAAGAAACATAGACAATTCCAGGTGAATTGGCGCAACTCAGAGAGTCGATTTGGAAGACAGCGTCTTCTGTCAAGCCAGAATCGGCCTGTGGTTGCATTACCACGACCACCTGCTCCAGTACAGTATCCGGGAGGGTATTTGATACATTGAACTGGGAACCGAATCAGACTCAACGCCATGAAGTGCAGTGCAGTTTACTGACCTGGAACACAATATGCTCTCTGAATATATGCTTAACACACGTAACTTGATACTCGGTCTCGGATTCCGTGAGCTGTGCAGGCTTTACGCTGCTGTTGAGGACGGTTCCATACTCTGCAAAGTGTGGCATATCCGCAAGTTGCTGTACGTATGCAGATTGCGTTTCTGCAGCGGTTGGAGGTGGTGGAGATGCCGAAGCTCTCGTTGCGGGCGCAGCAATAGTGTCTAGCGTGCTTGGTCCTGAAAATGCGTCAGACTTTAGAATAAGAGAAAACAAGAATACTGACTAGTCGACTCAGCAGCAAGTTGAGCTCGACTGATTTTTGGTATCGACGAGGCGTCGAACGGCTGTGCGCTGGCATCAACATCATTGACATACGCAACGAGTTTGGACTCGAGCGCGGCAAGTGAGAATACAGATTCTGTACAAATCATGAGACACTAGAAATCGTCGAAAAACCAAACGTACCTTCTTTCACATAAGTATCCGCAAGAGACGCCTCCTTCATGACTTTCAAGTACATGGCGGCGCGATCACGAACTTCATCGTCGACGTCATCCAAACACCTGACAACTTTTGTTCGCAGCTTTTTCTACGCGTAAGAAAAAGCTACCAACCTGTTTAGTAGAACGCCAATGCTTCTTCGTAAACCATCGTCCACCGCATTGACACCGAACTTGGCCAAACTTGCAACAGCTGCTGCTCGTACGGTGGCATTTTCAAGTACGACACGGTTGTAGATGAACCGGATGTACTTGGTCGGTTGAGGAGCTTTGGGACCTTCGAGGCCAAGGAGGTGTAATATCCGCACAGACAACTTCGTGAATTCGCAGTCTTCGATGAACTCACACAGATGTGAGAGCGCCTGCTCTTTGCAGTCTGAGATGAACTTGATCATGTCGAACATAGCCTCGACGACGGCACGTTTGAAGTCATATCCGCCCTCATCACGAAGAACTCCCGAAAGGAAAGCGAGCATGGAAACGTGTTTCGTCGGGAATTTAATGCATAGCGAGCGAATGGCGTCGACAATGATGACTTTGAATTCATCGCTGATCTCTGACATGAATCCAGTGATCTGCTTCATGAGGCGGTCAACGGACGCCTCATTTCCGGTCTAGGGGACAATTAGTGGATGTAGAATTATTTCAAGTTCATCTCTACCTTAAGCAGGGTAGTGATGGCGTATGTTGCCACACTCCTATTCTGGTCAGTGATAAGATTCTCAAGATCGACGTTACACGACGCCACAGCAGCAGGATGAGTTAAAGCGAGAGTAGCCAGTGTCCGGGTTGCAGAAAATTTCAAAACAGGTTTGGGAGAAGAGAGGAATAGCTGGAGCACTGTAAACAAGTCAGATAAAAATAATCAAAGTTCAACAGTTACAAACCCGCTATTGGTTTGGTGAGTTGCGAAGCATTGACATTCTTCATCTCGCAGATAGCACGTGCTGCCTCAAAATTGACCATGTCACTCTTGTGACGTAGCCACCCTTCCAAAAGATCGAGGATCTGCCTTTGAACACTAGAACCAAAATAAGGAGTTGATTTCATAGCCCGTCTAAAGACGTACTTTGGATCTTCCTCCATCACTTTCGCAGCATACCGAATAAGCATACAAAGAGCCATGGAGTTTTTAAGCGTCGTGCCTGCACCAGACTTGCCCCCGCCAAGCTGCTGTATCATTTTAGTCACAGCCATCCGATCCTGCTGGCGAATCAAGTATAGAAGACCAAGTGCATGATATTGAGTGATGTAGCTCGTCGAAGGGATAGGTTGGTAACCGCTGTTTGAATTTCCGGACGAGCCAAAATTGAGGTAACCACCGCCTGATGATCCGGGGAAGAAGGACGATGATGACTTTGCGCTGACCGCTTCCTGAGCCTCGTTCACCCAACGCTTTACTACGTCCTTTGCGAGAGGGAATAAATGGTATGAGGACACGAGTGCCGCAGATGAGATAGAAGGCGTTCGGTCTACAATTGCGGCTTTGAAGAAACGCTCTACACCTTGAGCCATGGAAGGCTATACAGCAGTGAGCGCATGGGACTCCATAATTTGGGCAAACGCACGTCAATGATTCGGCAAAGTGCACGAATCGCATTTGGCCGGTAGATGACCTCGGAGTTTGGTTGCATGTCCTTCATAATACTGCTTGTGACCATGATGACATCTTCAGCGGTGGTTGCGAGTTCCTTGATGGCTAGATACACCATCTGCCTCAAGGCGCTCTTCATAGACATAAGCTGGTCATTGCATGGCAATGGGAAGATAATGGGAACATACATCCTTGTGTTGGAAGAGCTTTGTCGTTCCAAAGAACAACGTTGTGGCCTCCTGCGCGCTGAAGGTCTCCCCAATGTAAAGCAGATAGACAATGCGAGTAAGGAGGGCCCTGCATTTCCTGGGGCTAATTGGAGAGTCGTTGAAAACACGGGCTTCTTGAATAATTGTTGTCTTGTTATTATAGTAAGAACTAAGGCCACTCTCGTCCTCCTTTTTCGAGGCGTAAGCCATTGCTGACAGCGATCAAAGGGCGAGCTGCAGGTCGGCGATTGCGAAATGCACGACGTGGTCGAGCTGAATTATTTGTTTGGTCATTGTTTGATCAAGCGCTTCAACACACTCCAATACTTCGTTTGAGTCACCATCTACTTACACGTCGACCGTCTGGTGAGATCGGCCGTGCGGTCAAGGCATACATGACCAGGACTTAGCCTGTATACTTCACTACCTCCCGGGCCATCATTTCACGCCTCTTTCATCCTCCTCCCTCGGCAGTGTCGATACCAACACGGTTGCTACATTATAAGCTCACAACGTTGAGGTTCTACTGTGTCGGTACCTCTATACCTGCCCTGACCAGTACAGTAGTGAACGTCCACCGTGGGCTTCAAGTTTCAAGCACAGGGTGTACGTATGTTTCCCTTTGAGTTTTTGAAGATTGTGGTCAGTATATCTTATGTCATGAGCTCTCAATTCGTCGCTTTTTAGACATAGACCCATGTTTTATTCCCCGCATAATCCTGCTCTCTTTATTGTTCCTTTCTAGATATAATACGGGATGTCATCAGATGTCTTCCATACATGTCCATCATGTTGACCATGCAACCGCAGGGCTCGAGTTGGAGCTATAGCGGTTATCAAAAACGCTCAGCTCAGCCTCCACCCATCAGGGACAGATACATGCAGATCTGAGTCATCGTTGATTGTTTCTTTTGACAACAAGAGCCCGGGGCAGGATGGGTTTGAACATTGAACATGTATAACTCTTCGAGAATCTTAGTGTACGTACACACTAGTACTTTGAGTTTGAACATGCGCCACTCGACTTCTTCGTGCACGCGCGGTGGTATTAAACCAGGCCGCGGTTGCAGCGCTGGGTCCCGGTCAGGGTTTCAACGTTCAACCCTGAGTGCTTGCGTAGTGGCATGGCAGGAGATCTATGACCTCCTACGGCATCGTGACGTTGCACGGAGTTTTAGACAAGGTAGTTGATGATCTACTTCATCTCGTGGGCGAAACGCAGTGCTGCCAGTGCATCACGCTGATGGATTTGCATAGCCCGACATTCAAACAAGCTTTCAATGAACTAGTTGGTGAGTGCACATTGTAGAAAGCACCACTTGTTGTATTCTTGAAATAGGTTATTCTGACGAAAATTTGCCGTGGTGTACGCTAAAATTGTCTCGTAATCTCTCATGCAGTCTAGTTCACTTGTGAACACCGTCGCTATGTCCCTTGGTGGAACTCCCCCTGGCCAGACCCTGGCACCCGCAATAGAAATATCGTGGGCGCGTGAACTTTGCTCGGCAGATTTCTGGTTGAACAGCGCTGTCAATTCGCGATCAGCGACAATGCTGAAATAGCTCAAACAAGCTGTCAATCCGATGATGCGCAACAACGCTCGTGATGAAGGCACTGATGGACCACGTTTGTTGGAAGCTAACCGATAATGTGTCACCCGGCATCGAAAATACCATTGCGGGCGCCTGTATCCTGAAATTATTGGCCTGAATCAATCCCCAACACCTATCAAGCAAAAGTGCCGCATCGAAAAACGCAGTAGCCTCCAAGTGACTGGTCGCTGTATTACGCGACTGTTACTAATGGCGACCTCGTGGAATATAACTCTGAATGATACGAGTCCAGTATTCACGTATTATCCTTACTGTGGGCTGTTCCATCGCGTTTCATTAACTGTTTGACTTGACTTACTTACAGACGATGGTTTCGGAACGGGAAATGGCTGGCAAGTCTGGTACTCGGAGACTGGATATAATACGGTCCCTGCGAATCCAGGAGTTGGCATATCAGCACACATCACCTCGCTACCAGGTGCTAATGTTACCTTGTCATTTTATGGTACGTTCAATGATCGTATGAATTTCCCCTTCGCAATTCTGAATTGATTACTGCCAATAAAGGCACAGGGATAGAACTCTATGGAACGGCAAATTGCACGTTCGATATCACGGTGGACGGAATATTCTCTTCATCCCTCAGCTCTCCCAGTGATATCCTGTACTCTAATCAAGCACTACCAGAAGGAACCCACTCGCTCACCCTAACAGCCCACCCAACTTCAGGGCAGCAACTTGCATTTGAGAATGCTGTAATTTATATCGAGTACGTCAATGGTCAACGCAATCTGTTTCGGTAGCGTCTGAATTTTCTATCAGTCAAGCAATCCCCCAAATGGCATCATATAGTAATACGAATACCACGTTCCTCAATTATACCGGGAATTGGTCTACTGGCACAGATACACATGTCCCTGGAGGCACCTTCCATTTTACGGAAACCATGGGTTCAAGTGTGTCAACCACCTTCGGAGGGTCATCGGCGGTGGTCGTACAAGGTATTGTAAACTGGGGTAATTGGCAATACACAGTGGTACGCATTATACATCTCATTCCAAAACCAGGAGCTTACTTATAAAGTTATCAGTCTCTAAACGGCACCCAGTCCGTGCTTAATGCAAGTAGCTTCTGGTTCATTCCGGACACTACCTTGTTCTATGAAGGGGGCCTAGATTCAGCACAAATTTATGTTTTGAATATTGCCGACACTAGTGAAGACGGCAACAAGCTTGCAATAAACTCCGTGAAACTCTATCAGCCTCAGCCGACCACACTGTAAGTCCACCGATCAAAAAGTTTAAGATCCGGAACTGAAGCGACTTCCTCCGATAAGGCCATCGTCATCGAAGCCCTCACACGCAGGCGAAATAGCTGGCACCATCGTAGGAGTGGTCGTCTTGCTTGCTTTAGTCCTCTGTTTCCTCTTCTGGCGACGCTCACGGCGCCTTAAAACAGCAATTTCAGCACGAAATTCCAACTTACTAGCAAACGAAATCACTCCCGAGGCTCATGCTACGTACTTCCCCGCACTCGCGCCATACACTATTTCTGGCGCCACTACCAAAATTCGTCCGCAAAAATTCCCATTGATACCTATCGGCGGAAGCACTGATGGTTCGCCACATGAAAGAGCAATTGCACGTGGTCCTGGGTCCGCCACAAGCTCTCTAGGCACATACAGCGAACCCAGAAATAATACTAGTGGTTCTCTATCTTCTTCTAGTGCGCGTGGTAGGTGGCGTCCTTTGCCACCTCCACCTGACAGCGTTTCTTCTCCTGCACTTTCTCTACACGAGGTAAAACATTCTCCGATGCCATCAAGGCTGGAGCCACCTGTACAGATACCAGACTCAGAAGTGGATAGAATACTGGGAATTATAGCTTCGCGTATGGACATGCCCGAAAGAAACACCTCTTCCCCTCCACCCCAGTACCAAAGCTGACTCGGTTAGTCTTATTGTTCACATATGCAGGGACATGAGCATGTCCAAGCACGTATCTCTTTTTTCCTTCAGGATGCTTAGATTAGAACTCGTCTGTAATCATCTACGTCAAATATATCTCGTGTCGTGATGCCGTGAAAAAAGCGTAGTTGGTGCAGGTATCGAACGGTAATGAGGAAGGAATAAATAACTATCCCATGATACAGTATTCTAATGTGATGCCCACGCGAGTCCAAACATGCCAAAGTGGTAAGTAAAACAGATGAATAAATAGTACCAAGGTGCACCGGAATCAATCAATGTTTCTTACGGGCGTAGACGTTTTGTATACACACGTAAACAGGAGTGATTGCCTCATCCAATTCCGCCACAGCGTTGTTTTCCAGTTGATCTACAAAATCTTCTGATAACCCATTGCCGAGGAGCAAAGGGCGACCGGATCTCATGAATGCCTACAAGCGCGATCAATATGTGACGGCTTCACGTCATGCTTGGCCGGCTTACTTTGACGTCATCTCGCATAGTCGTCCCAATACCATTCCACCAGACACTATTGGAGTCTTTGCCCTTTAACCACGGCGAAAGTGGTATCCAGAATTCGCGGTACACAACGTCCTCGAATGCCGGGTGATCGCACACCCATTGATGCATGTGCAAGGAAGCGTCTGCATCACCACCCCGTTGACGAACGGCTCTGTTCGCATAAGACATCCATAGAGGTGTCCACGGCGGTTCAAAGGTGCCCGCTGGCGGACAAATAGGTGTTTTCTCGATGCCAGTAAAGTGGAATGGGAATTCAGTGATGTCTATTAGACCGCCTGGCCGGAGGACATGCGCGATATGGTTAATGAGCCCGTGGTAATCCCGAATCTAGTAGTACAGAAAAAATGAGGGTGAATAACGTCAGTACTTTAAAAAAAAAAATTACTCGTAATTGAATATACTGACTCCGGAAGAAATTAATTGAGCATGGACGACATTGAAATCACCATAAAAGTGTTCCAGCCCGAGATTAATGTCGTCAACTTCACTTCTAAATCAAGCAAGGAATCTAGCTAAGAAAGGTAGCGCCGGATAATCGCAGCTATCTTTCTCACCTGCAGTTTGGTGGCATAGATCTGCCAAGGAGTAGCTCGCTCAGGAAAGGTTAAATGAACAGGGGTTAACACGAGCACATACGTTGACTGCATGGGAACGAGATCCACAGCTACCGCACCTGCATTTGGGAATTCTCTCGCAATGTCCATTATCCTGCACACGTGAGCATAGTTAGAATTTCAAAAGAAGAATCTCACCAGCTGCCACTGCCACAACCTAGGTCGAGGACAGCTTTAACTTCGAACTCATCAACTGCCATGATTTCGGGCATCGGTGGTGGGAATTTGCCGATAGCTTTGCAAAACATATCATGCTGTCTATCTGTGCTGGGATGTTAGACCACAGGGGATGAAAAGGGGTCACTTGAACCACACCCAAACGATCAAGTTCTTCATCATCGGCTGGTAACCGGTAGACTTCTGAATAGTTGTTCAGGCCTCGTCCGTATTCTTGTCTATATGCTTGGGCTCGCAAAGAACTTGTTGCAGAGAATACTGATGGAGCTGGGGATTGAGAACGCATAGAGATATCCATAGACGTCTTCGAGCTTGCCACGCTGGGCGCAAACGCGTCGAGAGACATATCAGTGTATCTGTCAGACTCGGACCCGATGTCACTGTCAGCATCCTCAGAATGACCGTCTCCTATCGCAGGAGGAAAATGGTGAAACGACTGGGACATGATAGAGGTAGACATAGATGAAACGACCAGAGATCGGGGATTATTTATAATTGGTATGGGGGAAGGATGTCATTATAAATTCAGTCAGACATAATCTTCCCGGCGGAGACATGTTAATTGCTCCGCACCTGACCTTTCCTCCAGCCGCTGCAATCGCGTGAATGGATTTGAACCTTTCCACGTGCCCGAGGACTGTCCGGCGACTACCGGACTTCCCACTTCCCCGACTTAGCCCGAATAATCACTATTTCCATAAAATACTTCTCTTTCATTTCATCATTCGCTTCTCAGTTTGACATCGTTTCAAGTCCTTTGTGTCGATAACACCGAGGTGACAATGTTTGCCTACGTTTGCCAATAAATTATTTTCTCTGGCACTGACTTGAAAAGTTTTAAAAGTGGTACAGTTTATCGTTTGTGAACTAGTCAAGGTCCGAAGGCCCCTAAATTCGGCCCGTGCTCTGAGGTGATGGCACCTTGAATCCGCCGCACTCTGGAGATAATTACTGGTCGGCGGATCACTGTTGGTATGCAAGAATAATTTTGTGGTTGCCCATTTTTTGAAAACCGCGAATCTGACATGCCACTAGTACCGTATGTGCGGCCTATCGCATTAATGTTTGCGCTGGAAAGTCATGTTTCTAGTGTCCAGGCCGGACCGTCCATTTAATTGGTGACTCTGTGGCTGACTCAACGTTTCGCCGCCGAGCTGCAATGCTTACCGTTGGGGCACATCCTTGAATCAGAGCCAAGATGTATAATTGTCCGAAAGGTCCGCTTGAATAAAATATGCATTCTCATGTCTGCCGTCCGTGGCGAGCTAGACATGCTCAACTAGGAAATAAAAATACCAAAATCCTGGTGTCACAATATTTCTTGTGTGCAGTCCAATCGTGACTCGACTGACAAGTGGATAAAGTCGAGTGCGTCCGCTCAAATTTTCCTTCGAGCTCGAATTTCGATGTTCACTCTCGCAGTCTTCACAATCTGCAAATTGGCGTGAGACCCCAAAAATATTAATACCAGTGGCATATGTTCGATATATATTTTAAGCCTGGCCTCGCAGCTGATTATCGAATTTCTGTCCAACTTTCCTGCACGCCGGAAATCAAGACAACGTCAGGACATCAGTATTTAATTTTTTGATCAGTACAAGGTAACATCATTATGACTAAATACCGTGACGACTCGCCATAAATATTTTGACACATGGATGAGAACTTGAAGCCTGGTTGAACCTGATTACAAGTTTATCATGATAGTAGTCACTCATTAAGTCCTGGGCGTGTCCGACCAGACCAGAATCCCGTGATTGGTCCTTTGTAATCCCTCAAAGTATTATAAAATGTCCCCTTCCATGGGATCCGGCGGACATAAGTGACGACACAAGGTTGGCGCCTCCAGTACAATCAATTCGCGCACCTGACTTGGCATAATTAAGCTGATACGTACAGCCCGGGGGTAATAGAAATCTCCGGAAGTCACTAAAATTTGTGAATCGTGATCACATAGCTTCATAAGATGGAGAATCATTGAAGGTTCGGATATACACAAAAGCAGATAAGCCGTGTCACGCAGAGGAGTGTACACTACACCTAGTTAGCGCTTCTTTAATTCCTCAAAGCGTCGTGCCAGAACGGCGAACTCATCCTCAGTTTCCTCTTTCGAGTGCTCCGTCTGGTGGGATTTTCCTCCGGCTGATGCCCTGGATTTCCCGGTTTCGTCTTCAGTTGGAGGAATATCCGGTAACTTATCAGAAATTTCCCTGGAATACAACGGAAGGGATTCCAGTGTATCGCTGCCTGATGGGCCACCCTTTTGGAGAGGACTGTATGAGATCACATCCTGATTCCAAAGTGAGTCAACGAACCACAACGCTCCCTTGTGCCGCAGCAGTGATTGATGAAGCAGAGGCCCACTTGACGCCATAAGCTTTGGCAATCTCGCCGAGATATGCATCAACCAGCTCTTCCGAGGGTGTTTCTATGACGAGCTTCCTCATTATCTGGCACGGCAGAGAAGGCATAAGCCCGGGTTCAAAATAGCCGCGGGCGACATACTTACACGTTCACTCACACAACCACTTCTATTTTCCATTGCAGCTGCGGAGAAGTCGCGCCCATACTTGTGCATCAGCATGTCGCGCAGAACCAGTAATTCTGGGGCGGAATGCCAATGAGCAGTATGATTCATGTCACGATATAGATTCACCTTTCACTTCGGTTCTTGGAGCTGCATGTATAATGCTACATACACCTTCGTTGATTCCAGGATCAGGGTCACGAGTACTACCGGCAGATGAATCGACATTGAAAAATAAGACCAACAAATATAGAGCTCCATACTTTTGGTCAAGAAGGCCGAAGCGGGCAATGAGCAACTCGCAGTAAAGTTCAAGTAGCTCGTATAACTCGAGGTTCACATCTTCGTTTATGACTGGCGTCGCACGATGACCGCGCACGAGCACACCAAGTAATTGAACAACCGAAGTCCTAGCTGGGGAGAGGAGACCTACCAGCTTCTACTTTGACTCGTGCACTCTCCGTTTTTCCCTTCTCCAAGAGAAGGGCGATGTCCCTGCGAGAGCCCTTGGCGTGTGCCTCCTTCTTCTGCTGCGCTATGCGAAGCCGTTGAACGGAGAGTCTAGAGCATGTAAGAACTTATTAAGCAGTAGCAGGAGATCATTGCAAGATAACGGATACCGAAGTTGCACCTGTGCAGGCGAAGTTCAGAAAACGTGTAGTGGATGATCATTTACAAGCTCTGCACCTTCGCCTTAGCCGTGTTCCACGTTGACGGTGGCATTGTGGATTGTAAAACGATAGGACGCAATCTTTCTGTCCTTACACGGTCACGGTAAACCTATATTTGGTCTATAGTCAGGAGACTAGGCAACGAGGCTCGATACACAACCAAACAAAAACGAGTAGTTGCAACTATGCCTGAAATACATGTTCATTATTGCTGATTTGAAGCTATCATTAGGTCCGATAGTGATAGTTGCTCTACGAGGGTACCAATTATTTCTTAACTGGGTTTGACCGTCTGACGCCCATTCGCGCTCGTGCCCTGGAGCGTATCCACTATTTATTGATACCTCAGAAATCCTGAGGTTACTCCAACCGTGACTGCGATCATGACGGACACAGCCAAAAGTAAGCACATGGTTACTTTCCATACACGTCCCTATACTACAACTATTGGGCTATTGACAATTTGACGGTTGTCTCGGCGATGTGACCCTAGGTTCGCATGCGCAGGTATTGATCATCGGGTCAAGAGTGTGACCAGGTGTCCTCAAATAAGTACAGCTACATTTTCAGCGCTTGTGTCACCTGTAAGTAGTGGGAATCCATGTCATGATGGTTGCAGTTGATCGTATCCCTCATTCTTTTGAAATCTCGTCATTCGCGCAGGGCACCTCTTTCCTTAATAACAACGTGGCTTCCCATTGTCACACTTGGGTTACTCATACATAGAAAGACTCACACTCCATGATCTAGGGCTTTCTTCTGCTTGAAACCCGTTACGATGCTGGCCTCATTTTCGCGACCACAACGGCAACCTCTCCGAGTGTTGATAGACTCCTCGTTTCCTCTACCTTATCGTTCGACCTCCCCTGAACCTACATCTTCTCTTTCATCCGAATCCAGTTTAACGACATCGGATCTGACGCCCAGCACAGGCGACCCGGAGGGGTTCATCTGCAACGTGATATGTATGTTTGACTTCGAGTCAGACGATCCAGATCATCTCTCGTTCACTCGCAGTGAGATTCTCACCGTTGTGAAGATGGAGGATTCAGGCTGGTGGGCTGCTATGCGTCCCGAGGGGGACCGTCTCGGGTGGATTCCAAGCTCTTTCGTAGAGCGTCTCACAGAAACAGCCGTAGAAGAGCCGGATAGAGGACGTCCACACCTGGATCCATAACCTTGAAGAAAACAAGGCGAGAAATTACGAATCAGTCTCTGATTCGGAATGTATACAACTCGGGGACATATTGAATTCTATGTCAGATGTGGCGAAGGTGAGCTGGCAAGCGTTCTGTGGTGAATATATCCACGATGGCTGATGCTTGATCCAGCCCCTGTTGCTACCCAGTAACCAGTTGCGTCGTGAGGATTCACGAAGGAGCAACCAAATTTATGACTCTTTCTTCAGCTTGCCTGATGATGAACCGCCGCCACACGGTTTAACCCGTTCTTCCCCTTATCCTTTGCACAGCATGTCACAACCCTTGGTCACTCCGCCCAGTCCAGTGTCCGAAGTTCCTCATAAACCACCCGGAAACCTCGACAACCTACAATTGTCATGCTTCAGTATTGATTCAGAGCGCTCTCTTCCATCATCACCTTATCCCCGTCGCCCCCGTCGTCTAGCGGTGCTTGTTAATGACCACGAATCCTTGTCGTGCCTTTCTGCTATGATCGACAGGGAACATTCGCCTAGTTTCCATGCCCTTGACAGTCCGCATGTGAAAGAGACGTTTGACTTATTCAACAGGAGGTGCACGGGAAGTTGAATATTCACGATACCTACATGCCCCTACCTTCCCAATCACCGCTGTATTCACAACTAGATCTTGAGTGGCTTGTATTTTTGGCCTGAACCATACTTGTAGCATACCATATTTCATTGAAACTGGTTTATAATAGAATCATCATCCCAAGCTAATCCCATCCCACGACTTCTGGCTTGATATTCGTGACAATGAATATGCATCCTAGAAAGTTTAGCATTGAAGTAGGTCATGATTACGGCTAATAAGGGCGGGAACAGACTAAGTCAGATAAAGGTAAAATGGAGTTCCATGCGGCATGTGTGGGATTGTACATAAAATCTAGCAATTGCAAGCTTCGCTACCTTGAGCTGTTGGCTGCCTGTTAAGGTCTACACTCTGCCGCGTGGTACCAGGGGCTGCGACACGAGCACCACGCGCTGAGGGCGGTGCGGTCAACGGGAGCTTCTTGGCTGTGCATAGAATCAAGTTAGAGCGCAATAATCCAATCAAAGACAAAACGCACCAATAGCATTGAAGATAGCGTTTACACCCTCTCCTGTCTTTGCGCTTGTCTCGCTCCACAGAAGACCTTCTTCGTCAGCATATTTACTGGCTTCCTCCTCCGTAACTTGTCTGCGTGCGGAGAGATCCAATTTGTTGCCGCACAAGGCTATTATTATCGATGGGTCTGCTTGGCGTTGCAGTTCACGAATCCATGTCTTCGCCTTCTCCAAAGAGGCAGCTTGGGTGATGTCATACACGACAACTGCACAATTTGCGTTGCGATAGTACATTGGCGCCTAAGATCTTCTAAATCAAACGTAACTCCACAAAGAGGATAAAACATACAAGGGACTAGAAGGCACGCCGTATCGTTAATTCGCGTGATACGTGGTATATGAAATTTGGGAACTTACTTTGTATCGCTCTTGACCCGCTGTATCCCTAAGCCATATTTTAGTATGCGCAAACACCACAATTTCACATCACTTACCATATTTCAAACTTGACAGTTGTCTGGTCCTCTAAGGTAACTGTTTGTGTCAGGAACGCGGCTGTGTGACCAAGAGCTCAGTGGAAGAAAATAGGTTTTTAGATGATACATACCGCCAATAGTACTTTCCCGGTAGTCATCAAACTGATCTTTCACGAACCTTAGGACCAAGCTGTAGCGAGTAAGCTGGAGACTTGCGCACGAGATAATAACGACGCTGTGCATTACCTGGATTTCCCAACAGCTGACTCGCCTTAAGAAATGTTGTGAGTTCGGTTTTCATAGAATTTAAACTGCATTGATTTACCTAGAAGAACGAGCTTGAACTGAAATTGCTTCGACATCGTGGAGGGTTGCACAGAGTAAGTAGTACAAGTGGCTTTGACCAGTGACTGCGAGCAACGAATGTCGATGATCCGCATTTGGAAAATGAGATTACGTGTATTTTCTCACCCATGGCAGAAAATTTTGTTAGACGTTGACAACGGCTTTGACCCGAACCACCATCATCATCAGACAGCTCTTCTGTTGGTTTTCGCTTTCAGCGTATTCCTCTTGAGTTGATTCGTACTTTCAGAAGTTTATTCAGAGTTATTCTTCAGCAGTTTTTCTCTACCTTCCACGTACACGTTTTCCACCGGATCTTTAAGCTTTCACATATCAGCTCAGCTCAGCTCACCTCGACCCCCAGTAAAAGAAAATGAATCGTCATCATCCCTATGGAGGAGTTTACGATAATTCCGCCAACAGAAGGGGCGGCCCACCAGGGGCTGGGCCGGATAGATCTTACCATCATAGAGGAGGCGGGGCGCCTCGTGGAAGAGGATTCGGCCGTGGCCGAGGCGGCCAAGGTGGGCCAGGTGGCCACTTTGGCAATTACGATGGCGGTGTCTCCAACGCATATGATCAAGGGCCGCCTCAAGGCGATATGGGCCTCTACAATAATTACGACTCTGGCTCGCAAGACCCCTTCTACCAGAACGGCAGTGGTAATTATGGTAGTGGAATACCCTCCGCTCAGTTCAATGCCCAAACCCAGTCAGATGGTTACTCCCAGGGCTATGGTAATTATGAAGGTGCGCTTGAAGCTAAGACTGAAAAATGCGCGAATACAGGCAGAACTTTGGCGGCGCAGCTTCACATGGGATGCAAATTATAGCGACGAAAAATTGACAGGCTCATGTTGTCAACGGCGAAACTTTCATGGAGGCATCTCAGACATTAAGGCGCACTCGCGAGCTTAAGCTATTCTTTAGCGAGAGCAGTGAAGTCGGAAGAAAGACTACAGACGATGGAATCTGAGATAGCCCAGGGAATGTGCTCGTCCGAACTTCACAATTGGGAGCTGATATGTTTCGGCTGAGTTGGAGTCTTCTCCGCCTCTCCTAATTTGCTGCGCTACGTCTATTTGTTCTGCCTTGTCCTCAGCTTGGTTTTCTGGCACGTTGCAAGGACTTGATCTCACTGCTATCCGATTCTTTGTCAGACGGTCCCGACGGCAACTATGACGAAGGTGGATTTGGTATGCGACCTCAGAAGCGAACTGTACGTCGAGAACGGGATGACAAAGTCCACGATTCAATAATTGAAGAGCGAATCCAACGCGAACGTCCCTGTCGTACTTTGTTTATACGCAACATTAAGGCGAGTCAATGAGTTGGATGCAGCTCCACGTGTTCTGGTACGGATTTGATTTGCTAACGTTGAGCTACCTTTGTAGTATGAGACGAATAGTGAGGACGTCCGTCGTTCCTTCGAAGAGCATGGAGATATCAAGACCTTTTTCGATCTCATTGCAACGCGGGGAATGGTTTTCGTGACCTTTGTAAGTTTTAAACGGAACCCGCTGCATCATCACTAAGGCTTCGGTTCAGTACGATATTCGCGCAGCTGAGCGTGCTAGGGATCGTCTGCAGGGTTCTGAGATAAGTGGAAGACCCGTAAGTTTTGATGCACCTTACTGTGATGACCACATCAATGGAGTTGTCGTTCCTCAGATCGATGTTCATTATTCTCTTCCACGCGATGACCAAAAGCAAGGTGGCGATCGTGACAAGAATCAGGTTGGTAGCCATATCACGCTCATTTCGCGAATCACGACTGAATTTTGTTCAGCAATTTCAGGGCAACCTAATCGTCACACTTAAGGACTCTATTCAGACTATCGACGATAATGAGGTCAGACGTAAATTTCAACAGTTCGGAGACGTTAAGTCAGTCATGCCTGTCGGTGATCGCGCTGAGTATGTTGGATCTTTCCAATCGCCTAGTTTACTGACGAGAGCCTATGCAGTCAACGTTATGTTGAATTCTATGATATCAGGGTCAGTCTTACTGTAAGTTGGAATAATGTAATATTAACCTCCCTCAGGCTTGTGATGAGGCGTTCGATCGTCTCCGTCACCAAGGGCTGCAAGATGGAACCATGGATATCACCTATGCATGGGAGGAGTCTGAGATTTCTGGTCCTCCTACTCAGCGGTATGCGATATCACATGCTATTCATTTTTGTGCTTACATGCCATGCCAGCCGTGAGCAAAGATTTGACGGTGGACGGGACTGGGATGATGGTGGGCGCGGTTTTCGAGGCCGGGGTCGGGGCAGGGGCCGCGGCGGCGGTGGCCGAGGCCGTGGCTCATTTGAGGATTGGGACCGGCGTGATGACTTTGGCAGGGATCGTGATCGCGGGCGCTTTGAAGATGATTACAGGGGTGGTGGGCGCGGCGGTGGCGGTGGCGGCGGCCGGGGTGGCTACGGAGACAGATTTGATTCCCGCGGTCCTCTCTCGAGTGGACTTGGCTCGGGTTCTGGTTCGTATAACGAGCCGGCGAACGTCACTGCGTATAACCAGCCCCCGCCAGCAATATCTCAGTACAATCAGCCCCCGCCAGCAACCACTCAGTATAACCAGCCTCCGCCAGCAGCTACTCAGTATAATCAGCCCCCGCCAGCAACCACTCAGTATAACCAGCCCCCGTCAGCAGCCACTCAGTATAACCAGCCCCCTCCAGCAGCCACTCAGTACCACCAACAGCCGCCATCAGCCAATCAAACTGTACGTATCTGCTTCTTACCAGTGTCCCACACCGCTGACAGTTCATCAGGGCACAGGGGATCGGTTGGAGCAGGCACGCAAAGTTCAACAACTGCTTGCGGCACTGAAACAACCCCAGAATGGTGCTACGCCGTCTCCCACGATGCAACAGGGACCGCCAACACCAGGACCTCCCCCGAGCTCACTTGGAATGCCCCCTCCACCCCCACATCAAAACCCATACTATGCACCGCCCCCCGTTCAGCAACCCGCAGCGCCCTATCCTCCGCCTGGGCCCAGCGCTAACCCATATGCTCAGATGCCTTCTCAGACACCCACTCCTCAGCCAGGGCAGATGCACACTGGAATGCCTGGCTTACCTCCAAATATCCTTGCATTATTACAACAGTCGCAGGGTCAGCAGGGTCAAGGCAATGCCCCCCAACAAATGCAATCGCAATATGGAATACCTCCCCAGCCACCTCAGTCCATGATGTCCCCACCTCCCATGTCTAGCATGCCACCCGGCGCCCCCCAGCCAGGAACTCCGAATTACCAACAATTAATGGCCATACTTGTGAGTCCGTACAATTCCTAACATGTACTCATACTGACTACTTGGCATCAAGGCTTCTCAGAAAAGGTCCTAATTTATGTAAACGACAACTTCTTGAACTATTGCTTGTCTGTTCTTGTGCTTACGCTACTATTTTTCTGCGTCATTTATTTCTTTCAGGTCGATTTTTCCTTGTTGCACTTGTCGTATAGATACGTGTTATGTTGTGTACATGCAGACTATCGTTTCTCTGTGCTCAGTGGTGCTGGCGACGAATCCGGCGCCGCAGATGGGCATACGTATTTGATCCTGAGCTCTATGATGTTCCTGGTTCCTGGGTATGACACTCTAAAGTAGTGCATCCAAGTGCAAACTCAGCGCTACTCAATCGCTGGGTAAATTCAGATATTAACATGGCACAAGGGTCGTACTGATATCCTGAATCCAGGTTCGGGTTCTCGATTGTCACTTATGGGACTGCAACTTTCCATACGCATTACGCATTCACAGTTTTGGTGAGGTAAGCCACCATGCTTCGCAGTGTTATCTTGCAACTCACCGATTTTCAGAGCCTCGTCCATGCAATAACATCCTAGGCGCCGTTTGCAATGGAGAATAACAAGACAGCCCTGTTGCAACCACAAGATGGCCAACCCGGTAAGTAGAAAATAGACTGAGAGTTGCCGATTTGAATGACTTTTAGTACTCAGATGCGTCCTACTTCAGCCATTGCCTGTGCAACTACCTTTCACTTGCTTGCGCTCCCAGAATGTGGCGAGCTACTTCGCGAAGGACTGCAGTCGTACCATATCACGAGGATGCCAACCTAATGAAGCCAACAAAGTAATACTCAGAGCATTATAGACGAATACATCGATGCGTGTAGTCAGTGTTGGAAGTGAGTTACATAATTCGAAGGGCATCTCTCAGGTATTTACCAACGTTTTCTTAGTATTTTCACTACCGTAAACTCCTTGCCGTTACCTATATTACTGTTTACAAGAGGCTGATCAAACCTAAGGTCACTTTGCCGACTTCGATCGCCTTTTGATGTCCAAACAGTGGTACACTACTACTGCCATAATGTGCCGGGTGTCATGCGTGGTCCAGAGACTTTTTTTGGTTGTCTCTAAGTCCACTGATTTGAGTATGTGTCTATCTTCATGCAGTCATAGTCACATGTGTGGGTATCATGACAAATTCAAAGTCTGTTCCTCTTGAACGGTGCGGGTTTGACGCCTGCCTCGAGCACTTGCATTCACCTATGAACGATCCCCTGGAACTTCGAAGTCCACCACAAAATCTGTGCCTCCTGGATAGTACACTGTGCAGATCCGAAAGCAGTTTTCTTGGAGGACTCTTCGGAGAGGAAGGTGCAGGTTTGAAATCGACAACTGCCTTTTTCCTCTTATCGCACCCTCAGGCTAATGATAGTTATTTCAAAAGGTCTATCTCAAGTTGAAACTATCAACCAATCAGCATAGCCAAGCGCGGGGTATACACCCGAAACCCTCAGCATCTGGATCTTAATTGTGATGGTCGCCGACGATGCTTGTCCACAACAAGAAAACTATCTTTAAACCTCGTGAAGACAACTGTCAACCCTAGGCAATCGGGGATTGGAACTGTGCAATGTATAGCTACGATATGATAAAATTCACACTAACCCACAGGATGAGTGTATGTCTAATTGTTGTAGGGAAGTATGCGTAACTGCTATACAAGATGCACATGAGGCTGAAAGCTTTGTGATGCACAGCTAGACATATATACAGAAACACATCTCGTCATGTACACGTAATGAAATGAGGTAAACTTATACATGGTTTGTGACTCATCTCAGCCATCTGGCCCCAGGCCTAGAGAGTTACAAGAACGTAGACATTAGCTGCCAAAATCACTAACCATATCAACCACCCGATCGACATCATGAACTTCCCGCTGCTGAAATCTACGAAGTCCTCAGTCTGAATTATCTCTGGATCATCCAATGATGTGACAACAGGCAGGGAGTGAGCTTCCACGCCAGGACTGATGACCGTGTGTTCCGAAGCCGTTTTGCGTACTCGCATGATGCGCGACGATGAGGTGAGGTATATCAGCGGGAATATAACGAATGGGAGTATTATCGACAAGATGACCTGAGTTACAACAAGCAAGAAGTTGATGCCGTTCGGTCCAACGACGATGGCAACAGTCATAGAAGGTATCAGTCCTAGCAGGCGCGTCAGAAGGCGCCGTACAACAGGCTGTCACATCAGTGAGTGATGATTCTCATCGGAACAAAGGATAGAGCTGACCGAAACTTTCCAGTTCAGGAATCCTTCCGAAATACTTTGCCCTGCTACAGTGGCAACAAGAGAAGCACTTTGGCCAGATGCAAGTAAGGCGAGCGCAAAGAGTAACGCGGCAGCTATTATCAAGGATTTGAGAAGCTTACAGGACCCGAAAGATACGACATACCTGGGCCAATCGTGTTCTGGATGAGAGTGTGGGCATCATATAAGCTAGCTGGAGATTCAGATCCGTACGCCCCTGATCCATAATAGAAGACGGCACTGGCGAGGATTAGGATACTTCGAAGGAGTTGTTAGCCTCAATGACAACAAGGAATGTTAGAACTTACAGGGCATTGATGATGACGGCGAGGCTTAGCAGACTGGAGACCATATCGACCATGCCGTGGTATAGATGGGATCGCACGAACTCTAAGGAATGATTCTCTCTATGTTCGTAAGACATCGGACGGGCATTCAACACGTCTAACTCGGCGCGAGATACTACGAAGAAGGACCGGAGTTTTCGCCAGATCGCTCTTCCTAAGTATTGTACGTGCTCGCGCTTTGATGCGGTCCCTGTGAGCACTTGTTCTCGAACTTTGCTGGAAAGCGAAGAGACTGGGGCAAGTGGTTTTTTGGATAGCCTATCTTGGGTTGCGAGATGGGAACCCAGAAATAGACTATGGGGCATGACAGTAGCGCCCAGGATTCCAACGGCTACAACAAAGCTACATCAACTCATATCCGCATTCTCGCATTTCATGACCTACATGTATAGAGAGCACCGCTGGAAAAAATTTCCTGAGAAGGAACGAATCCATCAAAGGCTGGACCCCAAGCGATATTGATCTTTGCGATAATTACGGCCATGCAAATGAGCACAGCAAGCACCTAGACTCGTCTCATTGAATCAAATGGGGTACACGAGTGGTTGAGGGCTTACTAGTGCAGCGATGATCCACTCAAATACCTTCGCTGGTCTACTATGAAGAGGGTTGCCGAGGGCAAGTATTAATAAGACATCGGCGCCTGTTACCAGAACACCACCCCAGAGTGGAAGCGCTGGAAAGAGAAGAGTGAGTGCTATTGCGGAACCAAGGAGCTCAGCAAGATCGGTGCTGATGACGGCTATTTCGGAGAGCGCGTAAAGTGGGTAAAGGACTCCCCATCGCCAAAGTTTCTTATGACGTGGTCGATCGTAGAAGAGAAGGCGGCAATGGGATGCGAGATCTGAAAATGACGAGTCAATAAACATGTCTATCTTGCAGGAAAGCTGACATGGAGAAGGATTTACCAAGGCCAGTGACCACCCCAAGCCGACAGGCAAGAACCTGTGAAAATCGCAGCAAGTCACTCGGACGGTCACTACTTCAAACATCCTATATACTCACTTGAAGAAACGCAGCGAACAAGCCTGACAGAAGTACGATGAAGAGGAGCTTATATCCATATTGAGATCCTGCCTGAAGGTCAACTCCCCAATTGCCACTTTGATCCAGCTTCAAAGTGAGACCGTGCCAGTTACCATCTCAGTCAGATGACTCACGGATCAAAGTATGCGACAGAACACACAATGCCCACGCCTGTGTGTTTCTGTGCGTGATGAAATACTGTCCATCCTACATGATGCAGACGATCTATCCAGTGCTTTTTAGTAGTCGTAGGTCCGCCCTGAAGATCGGGGTTGGCTTGATTCGGAGAAGCGGTCATCGAGCTAGAGCATAGACGAAGTCCTTTGGCACAAGATGATCAATGATTCAAGTCCTTCTAGCTGCGCAGTCACGGTCGTCGCAGAGAGTGGACGAAAAGAATGGTAGAACGCCGACAAGGTCACGGCAATATATATGATGATGGTAACAGCGTGGCAAAATTAATAAATATTGGTCTATCATGTTCAATGCATTTCAAGAGTCAGCCATTGGCTCTCGGGAAGTTTCGTGTACCGTAGCGGTCAGTGTCCTCCAGAATCATGCATCATGGACCAATGACTGCACACGTGTAGTATGACATGTATAAATGATGATCAGGCGATGGAAGTTCTATATAGAACCAATCCCATCTCACGGGCACAAGACAAACTCCGAGGAGCTCCGAGTTTAGGAGCCTAAAAATCTGATTCCAAGTCATCTGTCTCGAGAAGGCAGCTTGCATAGGCCTGGACACGTTGCTTGTGAGCACAATGAAACCCTGAAATCGTGATTACTGACGTCTAATTCTGCTTGACTGAGGAACCCTGCTTTGGGTGTAGATTCCCTTGGAGGAATTGCAACACGCGTTGCTATGGATGGCTGCGGAAGCCTGTTAGAGGAGCCACTAGATATGGCAATGGCCTGTCGCGGCGTAAATGTGTCCAACTTCAATGGAATTGACTTAGCCACGCCATACTATACGACTAGCTTGCCAGTTACCTTGACTGGCTCGGGTATCGTCTTCGACGTTGTTGGCTTCTTTTCCAAGTCACGGATTAGCTGCTCCCAATCTCGCTCCGGTAGCTCGGGTTGTAGAGCGCCATCGTTAGCCAATCGGTCAGCGCACTCGTTGCCCTCGATTCCAACGTGACCTCTGACATGCTTGAAAATGACTTTTGGTCCTGCTCTTTCCCGGGCATATAGCAATGCCGCCAAGTACCTGATCAGTTCAGCGTTTTTGACGGGTTGGCCGTTGGCCGTTCGGAAGCCGTTTGCGCTCCACTTTGGAAACCAGGATTCAAAGCCTGCAACAGGATGAGTGGAATCCAACACATAGATCAGCGCGTCGTACATTGTATTGAATACTTTGAGTCCGTTTTGATCATCAGCGGACGCTGGGAGAATGGTGCGGTCTCCAATGCCCGAACAATTGCCTGCAAAATCGGTGCGAGAGTAAGCGAAGTATATTATCAAACATATGGAGTACAACTCGCAATGAGTTCCGCCCTATTATTTGTTTGATCTCCAGGACATCGTTCGGCGATGTTTCTGAAGTAATGATGAGTGTCATGTGTCATCGCTCAGACGATATTTCTCGCCTGGAATCGTTCCAACCCCACCACACACCCACACCCGCAACCGAGCCAACTTGTCCGTTTCCTTTGCAAGCACCGTCAGAATAGACAACGTCGTACCCAGACTCTTCTTCTTTTTCATTCGCAACGATAGCAGTCGAAGGGCGGAATGTCGACGATGTTGCCGCCACGCTCCGCGGTGGACTTATGGCAGCAGGCGATGCCGCAGACGAGGAAAGCTTTGAAGAAGGCGAGGTGGGATGCGATTCTGTGGTCATAAATGCAAAGGCTTCCGTCTCGCTGGTGAGCTTCTTGTAGACAGCACCATGGAAATTTTTCACTTGGGCCTCGCATTCTTCCCTTGAGGAAGGAAGCTAAGTACAAGATGAGCATATCGTACAATCAACTGACCATGTTGGATATATCCCAGGCGTACGTCCTTTGCGTACGGCATAATATGCTGTTTTCTGAGCTTTTGGCATACTGTTGGTTTGAGCAGCGTTACAAGACTGAGAGTTGCCAGTGTTGAAGGGTCTCGATCTTGTAAGCAGGGCGGTTTTTATCGAAGACGATCCAACTCCGCACGATTGATTCGCGATAACGCACGCTCTGAATGGAAAGATCTTAGCCAGGATTGGTGAAATGATTGAACAACCCAGATTGAACCATTCGATATTGACCAGACTCGTCAGTGGCTTGGAAGGTGTGGTGCGCGTTTTGGTGTTGCACCTAGACTAGGGTTAGGGTTTGTTCTCATACACTCTTTTCTGGTAGTACAGCTTGCATACTGCCAACGAATAATAATTGTCCGTGCAAAAAAATCACACCAACCCACAACTCGCAGGAACTTTGTGCTGAATTTCGTATACATGCAGATCTACAGATTGAGCGTGCGAGCCATTCCGACAGCACCCAATAAATGAAGTGCCATTATAAAGCAAGGTCAAGAGCTTCCCACTGCTGAAGTCCACGGTGTATCTCCGAGTCGGAATGTACTGATCTGACCGCGGGGAAAGAGGAAGCTTCTAAGCTGTCGAGTGGATCGATACTCTTGCGGCCCAGGAATCCTTTTTCCCGATGCAACAAGGGCAAGCGCGGATATTAATACAGCAGCTATTGCAAAGGATTTGAGAAGAACAAGGATGACGTATCTTTGCCAACCGTGTCGTTGATGAGAGTGTGCATATCGAACAAGTTAGCAGGATGTTCACAGCCATAGCTTCAATAGTAGTAGGAAGTGTTAGAAGCTTACAGGGTATTAAGTATGAAGGTGAAGCCTACTAGCAGACTGCTGACCACATGCAGCGATACAGATGGGATTGCACGAATTCTATGGATGATTTTCTCGGTGTTCATGAGACCTCGGACGGGCATTCAATTCTTTTAACTCAACACGAGATACTATGAACGAGGATCGGAAATTTTGCCAGAGCGCTTGTCCCAAGTATCGCACTAATGCGACTCGAACCTTGTCGGGAAGCGAAGAGGTGGGGGCCCGTGTAAGTGATTTTTTGGATAGCCTATCTTGCATTGCGAGATGTGAACCCAAGAATAGACTGGGGCATGACAGTAGCGCCCAGGATTCCAACGGCTACAACAAATTCATGTCAGCGCCAGTTCGCAACCTTGCATTCCATCACATACAGGCTTGATACAGCCCATATACATGTTTAAAGCGCGCCATTATTGACAAAGAGTGCCTGAGAAGGAACGAATCCATTAAATGCTTGACCACAGACGATATCGATCTTCGCGATCAATGATTGCAATATCAGATGAGTACAACGAACACCTAGATTTGCCCCATTGAAATGCTGTGGAGTACGCAAGCAATTGGGAGCTTAGTACAAATGCAGCGATGATCTATTCTGAGATTTTCACTGGTCTATCGCGAAGAGGGTTGCCAAGGGCAAGTATCGATAAGACAACAGCTCCAGTTATCAGGACAAAGTTCAGAGTGGACTCGAAAGCGCTGGAGAAGGAGCTCACCAAGCGTACTAACCAGATTTATGAAACCATTGTACTCAAGTTGACGCAAACTCACAGAGTCCAGAGTAATGATTCATGAACTAATTCTTACACCTCAAGTTATGTTATGAAGCGGCGTATGCATTTACATAACGTCCCCGAATAACATGACTTGAGGTAAAAACTTGTGGCAGCCAAGCTCCCACGTTAGTGCTAAGTGGACGATCAGACGTGTCTCTCCTAGTGCTGCTGAGTCTATACGACAAACAGCAGATGCGGTGAAACCAGGTCGGGGGGAGCGAGGTTGAAGCTGATATGTTCCGTGCCAATCACTAGGCCTGAGCGTGAAAATTTAGCGTTTGGTGCATGAGGACCGGCTCCGTCTGGACCACATATCTAGGGTCCTTATTGGATGGATTGATCCTTTGTGCCAGGATAGGCAGTTCCTGAATTATTTTCCCTCCCATACGATGACATGAGACTTGTTGGTTTCTTCCGAATTGGGATAATACCAAGGTAAATGCCTATTTCGGTTGCTACCTTGTACTCTTTGCATCAGTCCAGGTATGGGTCTCCTTCTCCTTGAACATCCCTCCTTTGGTATATAATAGCTATGCGTAAGTTCCTACTTCTATCAACACGACCAGTTTGGTCCAGTAGCCTCACAACCTTCCAAGAAGACTTCTTCCGCTATTCAAGCAGCCCTTGTTTGACGCATACGTCCTTGAACAAACCGTTGACGTCTAGCTACCAAGGCTCTACCAACTGTGCTCTGTGACATATTTGCAGACCAGTTCTAGCACGCATAACCATTCCCTTACGACCGTCGTCACGGGCAGACCAATCATCACATTTTCTTTGCGTGCTATAATATCACATCTTCACCAATTCACGCACATAATGTCTCGCTATAACAACTACACCACTCCCCCCAGATCACCTGCATTCGGCTTCTTCCCCACTTCACCCGCTGCCCCACACGCGTTCTCTACTATGCAGGGGAACCCGCGTGACTCGCACGCCATGTACTCGGCGCTGGGCTCAGCCATGGGTTTCCAATCAAGCAGCCCGCGCAGCAAGAGCAACGGCGGGAGCTCAAACCCGCTGATGAAGTTCTACAGAAAGTGATACTTCCTCATCATCATGATCGTCAACTGTATCCATCACGAAGGGGTCACGTGGACCCAAACCCATTGTATCGATAGCACTGGAGCGGAACCGTTATTGTTTTATGGTTAGGGAGATGAGGGGCGGAGCGCGCAAAAAATACATACCGAATGAGGGCTGCAGGTCATCTTCTTAACCACTTCGTTCGATTACAACACTTATTTCTCTATCAAATCCGAGTCCCTGTGTCCATATCTCGTACGCATAGAACACACATATTGTATCTCTATTGTTTCAACCTGGATGCTATGTATTTATTCCTCCCCTATCATTCAAAAGTTGACAGATGAAGTGAAGACAATAATGTAAGACAAATGTGCGCAGGCTGTGAATCGATCGTCGATTGTCTGACCAGGGTCCAGGTCTGACCCCGGCAACTCAGATTCAAAAGCGGATTTTGAACACCGGACCGGCAAACGCCGCTAGTCAACGCAGAGCAGATCACTTGGTACAACTTCACGCAACCTTCTTCAAAGGAGTCTTTCACTTCTAGAGGCAGCGACTTTCATCATGGCACCCTCGAGAGCACCAATATCACAAGAAAGTAATGTCACCGACGTATACGCGCTCTCATTACTTTCGGAGTACACTCACACTCTTGACTCCCTCCCACTCGACCTCTCTCGTAATTTTGCGGACCTCCGTGAGCTCGACGCAGTTTTATCGTCGTCTATGACATCCATCACCGCAAAAATACAAAATCTGACAAAGATGATCGAAGATGGCACGGTAGCAAAGCAGGACCGTCTTTTCCTGCTCACAGATATAGCAGAGGAAGCTGCGCGTTTGAAACTGGGCGGCGAAGACAAGATTCGTGTAGCATGTCAAGCCGCTGACAACCTCAAAAGCCATACTTCACATATGAGGACGCTCCTCACTCTCTTGCCATCATTCGATGTGTCCGCATTGAACCGCAAGACAACTTATCCCCATGTCGCTGTTCGGTCATACATGCCCACCATCGACAACTCGCGTCGTAGAAGAGGCAACTACGGATCAATCATGAATACCGCAAATCATGAAGCCAGCCCTTCCAAACGAAAACGAGCGACGAGAGAAGATGATGTGGATGTCGGGGGCGGGAAGTCGCCTCGCAAGGAGAGGACTGGGGATAGCACTGCGCAGCGATCTCGAAATGGTGCTCGTTCACGAAAGTAAGTCATTTTTCAGTATATGTATTCATCATGTTGATGTGATACTTTAGACAGGAACGTGCTGCATCTCCCACAGAATCCGTTCTTTCTGTCATCTCGCACACTGTAGCACCAGTGCCTCAAGCCTATACAGGGACCTCAAGAGCTGGTGGTTCATCGAGTCGCGTTACCAACCCCTCCAGTAGGCGTTCAAAGCCAAATCCTAACACCTATGATGAGCCGCACGTCAATGGATCTGTCAATGGCCGACGCGATATCTTCCCCGCACCACCTTCCGCATCGGTCTCTCATCCTTCTTTACCTATACCTTACGGATCAAATGGTTTACATTCTTATGATTTACCTGGTGCTCACACACTTGCCAATGACTGGGGAGCCCCTCCTCTTGGGCAACTCGAAGGTCCAGGCATGCCTGTCGCACGGAATACACACACCGGTCTATCGATAAGCTCCGCTACTGTCCTAACCCCTAGCCTCCCGCTCGTATCTCCAAGTGAAACCCAAGCCGGTAATGCCGCGGGAGACACGGCCACCGAAGTTGGCGAAGGTGATGGAGAAGGGGATGACAGGACCTATTGCTTCTGCGAGGGTATAAGCTATGGAGAAATGATCGCGTGTGACGACGTGAATTGTGAAAGAGAATGGGTACGCTATATCTCTCCTGTCCTGATACGGTGTATTCATCAATTGTGCAGTTCCATCTTGCATGTATTGGCCTTACGGTACCCCCAGACGGAACGTGGTTCTGCGATGCTTGCAGGCAGAAGAAGAATGCAAAACGTGGGTCGAGAGCAAACAAAAAGCGTTCGGGCGGCGGCGGCACGCGGTCGGGCGGCAAAGCTGCTAACAACGGATAGCGAGTTTTGGTTTGTTCTTCTATCAGTGCTTACTTCACCTTTGGTTTGGTATTTATGTTTGCTGTCTATAATTAGCTCCACCATTTTAACGCAAATCAGGGACCCTAATGAGGCCATAGAGGTGATATCTACGCCTTCCTCTGTCAGGACACTCCTTTCTGCACTAGAGTTGGTTGTGAAGTCGCAGTCGCGATTATCAAAGGATATTTCTAACATATATTCCTAATTCCCGGAAATTAGTATCTTCCATCATGCAGAGAAACTCGCGAACTGGGCGCCCCCTGACTCAGCTGCTGACATGTTGACATTAACAAGACAGATGTTTCATAATCCCGGATGTCTCGCTATTCAGTTGGGTGAGGTAGACAGAATGCGGACGTGCACTACTTGACACTTTCAGGGTATAAAAGTTCGCCACAAAGCGTACGAAGGCTACGCCGAAATCTATCTCTTCAGCTCATCTCGATTCTTTCGAATCATCAATCTAAACCAACAAAGATGCCATCATATGCTATAACAGGTGCAGCCCGGGGGATTGGCGTACGTGCAGCTTGATCGGCTATCACACTGCGTTTCTGACGACGTTTGAATTTGACCAGTTTGAATTTGTCAATCAACTCTCCGCTGATTCTGGGAACATCGTTTTCGCCCTTGTACGCAATGAGGCCACTGCGAACAAGCTTAAGGAGCTGGGAAGGCATAATGTCCACATTATCGAGGCCGATATCACTAATAACAAGGCTTTGAAGGTGGGTGCTTGACGCCTTGGATAGGGGCTGAATTGACGTTTTGTCCAGTACGCTGCTGCAGAGGTTTCTCGATTGACAGGCAACTCGCTTGACTACTTGATCAACAACGCTGGGTTCGTAGAGTCTGAGAGAGATGGATTGACTCTTGATTCGTAGTAAGATTTTTTTGTCTGCTTTTCGTTCTCGGAATGGCACTGAGTCGCGATTAGCTCCTCAGAAGAGTTGCTCACTAAGGATCTCCTGGATTCGGTATGCAGCCCTTCGCATGCGAAGACGGTAAAGCTAATGGAGCTCTGTAGTTCAATGTCAACGTCGTCGGTATCATCCACACCATCAACATTTTCCTCCCGCTACTCAAGAACGGGAAAGCAAAGACGGTCGTCACTCTCACTAGTGGATTAGGAGACCTTGATGTGACGATGGGCTCTGAATTTACCACCTCTGGACCGTACTCCATCTCGAAAGCCGCGGTGAATATGGTCAATGTCAAGTATGCTGCTCAATACAAGTCAGAGGGCCTCGTTTTCTTGGCGATTAGCCCGGGACTTGTGGACACTAGCACCAGGGCCCGTATGTTTTTGTGATATCCTCTAGGTTACCCACAGCTGATTACCGCCAATCTAGCTACTGACAAGGAACTGGAGCAGTTTATGGCGATGATTGGGAAGTTCAGAAACATCTATCCCGATTTCACGGGGCCAATCACGCCAGAGACATCTGTCCGAATGCAACTCGAGGTCATCAATCGGATCACCGTCAATGACACTGGAGCGTTCATCTCACATAAAGGGAATAAGGAATGGTTGTAGGTTTCATAAATACTCTGATAAGCTCCAGCTTTGTACTATAAACAAGTTACTTGATGTCTTGCTAATCACTCGCCTTCCACCCTCGGCTTACAACTAATGTCAGCAATAACCTTCACGACAGCATTAACAGCGTGCACAATGTCAAGAGTGAGATATAATAATGAGAACATATACATATGTGCGCATCCTACTAGATATTGTCATTTATACGGCGAGAGTTTTTGTTAGAGTTTGGCATCTCACCCTTCGTCATCGTTCGTTGTTCGGATAGTCCCGACTACGTATATATACCTACACTCGTAGACTTTCCTCTCCTTGTCGTCTCCCGCCATGTCGTAGACGCTTCTTACAGCGCCGTTCTCCAGCTTTTATAAATTTTTGGTTGGAAATACATAACTATTGATGCCTGTACATTCAGAGTACTTAGTGGTAACCAATACTATTATGACTGGCTGCTTCTGACTATGTACAACACGGTATGTAATCGAGAACTTAGTAAAGACTTATCTAACTCCCGAAAAGGCCTTTCCGTCATGTGATTACTTCAAAGCGCGTGCGCTATCCAAATTCGAAAATTTGGTCATGGGAAGGGGGCTCACCGAAGGCGAGCAGAGAAACTTGGAAGGGGTCGGTCTTCAGAAGTCAGAAAACCATCCCAGGGGGAAGCCTCTGGAAGTATTGAAACTTTGCTACTGTGTCCATTGGCTTTTGGTCAAATGATTAAATACTAGGTGAAGACAGAGTCCCAATGAGAGAGCTTATCTTTGACATCAGATTCAGATGGCAGCATTCAATATTACTGGCACAGTTGACATTGAATGTTGAATTCCCACCACATCAGGTAACTGACTCAAAAATGATAAAACCATGTAAAGCTTTATCTATTCTAAAATACATATAATATCTATCACAATTGTAGTCCAAATGAGAAAGCTTTAAATACCTGGACTAAGTCGGATGGAAACTACCAGAGGTACAATCTTGACAGTCAGTTTGCAATTACCTATCAAGTTGATAGATATTCACCAATTGTAATAAAGCTTTAGAAGCCTAGAGTGCTTTGGACAAACTCACCCAAGACTCAAAGGTGCTGAATACTGTAGATGATTGTGACAATTTATTTTCAAAAATCAATTTATTGACAAATATATACATGTGCTACATAGTAGTATATAGTGGGCTATGAAACAAGAAACAAAAGTAATAGTTAAGGGGACTATGAAGGAGGGACCACCAAAGAGACAGGGAGGAGGGGACCATGAAGGAGGCCAGGAAGGAGGGACCACCAAAGAAGGCCAGAGACAAGGGTCCACCAAAGGCCAGAGACAAGGGTCCACCAAAGAAGGCCAAGGAGGAAGGTCCACTAAAGAAGGCTAGGGAGAAGGGTGTATGAAGGAGCCAGGGAGAAGGGTCCAATGAAGAAGGCCAGGGAAGAGGGCCCACCAAGGAGAGGAAGCAAGGGGACCATGAAGAACAGACAAAAAGGATGGAGCACACAAGGACTTCAGCAAAAAATTTCAAACCCCCAGCTCCCATGGTGTACAAAGCATTCTGAGCAGCGTAATATTACATAATATTGCAATTCCATTGCAAACAAGTATCTTCGAGTATCACAAAGTCACACTCTAGCAATGGTCTATCAACATTTATTTACCATGGGTCACACTTGCGACATCTTACATACCAGCATCAGACTTATAGTTTTCTTGTAATTTCTTCTCATTCAAAGTCATGTTGCTCCTACTTATGTATCACTTTGTCTTAGAATATAAATATAAATATTTTTGTATATTTTTGGTCTGATTCTGTCAATAGTATCTATGAAAACTTTTTGCTTGCCGGTTTCCTGATGCACACTCACACATCACTGCACAGTTCCAATGCAGAATTCACAATGGTTCGTGTTCCTTGTCAGACACTAGTCTAGACTATCTTGGTTACACCCTGGATTATATTTCTCTTTTACAGCATATCACAAGGACCATTGTATCATCCTATCTACAAGAGTCTCACAATGGTTCATATTCCTTGACTCAGACACTAGTCTAGACTACAGTGGCTCAAAAAGTGTCTCAATGTTTGTGGATTTTCATGTAATTGCTGTATTATGAGTCAGGGTGTGGAAATATGACTAAGCCATAGGGAAGTGTGGGAAAGCTCTACTTCCTAGCTTTAGGTTTGGTCCCTATAGCATGGGGAAATTATGTTATTGAGTGAAGATATGGTCATTTTAATTTGGTGACTCATTGAGACACTTTTCTGACTTTCAGTTTAACCAACACAATCTCTATAATTCTGGTACTTGGTGTTTCCTCCTGTTGTTCTAATTGCTTCTATCACTCTTCTATTCACACTATCTATCAATTTCAGGCATTCCTCATCAAAAATATTGCCCCACTCTGCTGCAGCTCTCTCTCATAACTGAAATAGCCCCTATTATTATCCTCAGCTCTTCTAATCTGTATACCAGGCAGATTGCTACTAAAACTGGTCTGAGCAGGGTTACTCTCATTAGGGTTATTAAAAAAGTCATTCCAGATAAGACAAATATCAAACTAGGCTGTCCTTTCAAGCTCACACCACATAACAAAAAATCTCTTGTTTATCATATTCTAACTAGGCAGGCTGCCAATGCTACTCAAGGCACCAAATTCGTTAATTACATCATCTACACTGCTCTCTTTACTCAAATAGTCAGGAATACTCCTAAGGTAGCCAACCTTAAAGCTGTAATAAAGCAGAAAAAGCCTTTCCTGTCTTCAGCCTATAGAGAGAGGAGACCAGCCTTTGCTGTAAAGCCTCAGTATTGGATTGTTGAGCACTGGAATAGGGTTACCTGGTCAGATGAGACAAAAATCAATAGGATGAGGTCAGATGGCCAGGAATATGTGTGATAAAAGGCAGAAGAACTACTAGAAGAAAGAAAAGTCAAGAAAACACTAATGTATGGAGTAGGACATTTGATGGTATAGGTTTGTATGAGGTGGAATAGAGTAGAAATTCTCTGTGAGGTGGAGGAGAGAATTAATGCAGAGCAGCACATTTCAATTTTGGAGGAGTATCTGCTCAGGAGCATGCAGGAATTAAGAATTAATAAAGAAGATACCACCTTCTAACAAGACAATGACCCTAAGCATACTTCAAGTTGACCATAAAATCGTTTGAAAACTATTGTATCTGTGTTCTATAATGTCCAGCCCAGTCCTCAGACCTCAAACCTATTGAACAGCCCTGGGAATTACTCAAGCTATTACTTACAGTCTATCAAGATCCTCCATAGGGGTTATTTCAGCTGTAGGAGAGAGTTGCAGCAGAGTGGGGCAATATTTTTGATGAGGAATGTCTGAAATTGATAGATAGTGTGAATAGAAGAGTGATAGAAGCAATTAGAACAACAGGAGGAAACACCAAGTACCAGAATTATAGAGATTGTGTTGGTTAAACTGAAAGTCAGAAAAGTGTCTCAATGAGTCACCAAATTAAAATGACCATATCTTCATTCAATAACATAATTTCCCCTGCTATAGGGACCAAACCTAAAGCTAGAAAGTAGAGCTTTCCCACACTTCCCTATGGCTTAGTCATATTTCCACACCCTGACTCATAATACAGCAATTACATGAAAATCCACAAACATTGAGACACTTTTTTGAGCCATTGTATCTTAGCTCATCTAATTTTAATGGTGAGAACATGCTTCTTCCACAAAATTTACAGTTCTTGCAACTGATGCTAACATCATCCTGAAGAGAGTTGGTTACACCTCAGATTATATTTCTCTTTTACGGCATATCACGAGGACTGTTGTATCATCCTATCTACAAGAGTCTCTTGGTTACACCCTAGATTATATTTCTCATGAGGACTGTCATATCCTATCTATGAGAGTCTCTAATGGACTATCATTCAACACACATCCACTCGCACTCAGCTTCACTAAAAGTCCAGACTTATATTGTGGTAGGCTATACTATTCTTGTAATTGATAACTAACATCATCTTGTCTTCCTTAGGATTGTCATTCTACCAGCTCTTGTTATTCCAGACTGTCATCCTACAAGCCACTTCACCACTCATACTCACCTCCCCACCACTTGCTGCTTACACTTACCTCACACATCTGCTCACACAACAGTTGCATCAATGCCCACCTCTGAACATCATGGTAGGCTATACTATTCTTGTGCTGGATACTAACACCATCTCCATCTTCCTTAGGACTGTCGTCCTACCACTTGCTGCTTGAACATTGTAGTAGGCTATACTATTCTTGTACTGGATATACTAACATCATCTCCATCTTTCTTAGGACTGTCATCCTACCACTCGCTACTTGAACATTGTGGTAGGCTATACTATTTTTGTACTGGATATACTAACATCATCTCATCTTTCCTTAGGACCATTGTACTACCACTTGCTGCTCACTCTCACCTCATACATCCACTCACACTCAGCCTCATTTCTTCATAGTTCCAGACTTCAAAAGGCAACTACCTGCTGGATTACATCCCCTAGCCACTGAATTTTACAATATGGTGTGTCATTCAATAATTCACTTGTCCTCGTCTTTGACATCCTTGTCCTCATTCTTGTCCTTGTTGTTTTCTTTTCCTCCTTCTCCTTCCTCCTCCTCTCATTCTCCATCCTCACCATCACTATCCTCATTATTACCACCATCACCATCACCATACAGTGTCACCTGCCTTTGGATTTTCAACACAGCATGCTTCATTTTCTGCCTGCTTGAAGATGCTTATGTGTTTGTACACATCTTGAATCATGCCTGGCTGGAAGCCTGAGTGGTTTGCAAGTCTCCACTTTCTCTTCAAACCCGAACTGTGCGACATCCACAGTGCAGATTTGAGGGTCTATGTAAGGAACCTTGGTGTTGACCTCCAAGCTGCTGTTAGTGGTGATAGCTCTCTTGGTATTTTAAATCTTGCTTGTTGTCTGGCCAGTGCCCGCACCCATTTCCCCTCCGACAGCAGACTTGGAAGCTGAGGAAGTGTGCAAGTGTGGAGTCATTGAATATATTACTATGTACTAGCTCTTATTAGCTTGAATTTGCTTCCCTGAAAAAATATAGCTAGATGTTCTCAACCTACCAATTGGAAATAAAATCAATGGCAACTTGGTACAGCAGTTAACATGAAATTGAATACTGGTAGTGCAGTGGTTAAAGTA